TTACGTTCATTATATGTTAACCAAAGATGAGGAAAAAACAATACCTGAACATTTTCCACAATAAGCTCCGCATCAATTCCTTTTGGATTGTGGACATTTTTACCAACATGTAAATTATCAAATGGAACTGCTGGTAATTCTGGAACTGCTTTTAGTAGGATAGTTTGAAAGTGATGAACATCTGAGGATGTTGTTGTATCACCACGTCGTATAGTATGGATGTTATGATAATCATCAAAATTTGCCACCATAAAATCATCCATCTACATCAAATTCATTAAATTAAATTAATGTTTGCAATATAATTACAACTAAATTAAAATTCATAAGCATTATCCTTACATGTTCTAATACAAAGGAGCTAACAGTATCATTGTGAGTATTTTCTTGTTTTTTTTTATGCCTCATTACTGTCTCACGCCTAATGCTTATACCTGCTCCTGCAAATGTTTCAATAGCTGAGGATGATGTACCTGCACCATCTAACATATATCCAATTTCAGCTTTAATTCCATTGATGAATTTATTATTCAGACCTGCCAGAAAATAACAAAATAAAACTAATCTTTTTTTATTTTTTTCATTAGTCATGTTATTTTTATCTTTTGGATTTGTTCCAGCATAAAGTTGATTAAAAAAACCTTTTAATGCTGGTTCAGCTTCTTCTAACATTTTATTAAATTCATCAGGTTCTAAAATGGGTTTTTCGTTATTCACCCTCTGCCTCATATACAATATACCTGCCATTAGTTTAATTTTTTTATTAAGAGGTGTCATTTCTAAAATAAAATAAGTAAGCTAGTTAAATATAATTATTGACAATAAAAGTAATTCATCATTTTATTTAAAAAAAATTTTTTTTAAGATATATATTTTCATTTTGTTCAATAATAATAAACAATATTATTATTTTTAATATATTGGTGTGTAAAGATTAGAAGGATAATTAGTTACTTACCTAGTTTGGCTTCGTCAAGTTCTGCACACACTTCATGATATGCAGATTCTAATTGTTGAAATTCTATCTCAGAATATAAAATATCATCACGTAAAGCGTATGTTCTATTTTGAAATTTCCTAATATTTTCACTTGATGTTTTTTGAACTGGTAATTGGTAATCAGGTGAATCCAAATATTCTGGATCATTATCAGATTTATATAAGCAATGGTGACACATTACTGCTGTCTCTGATAATTTAAAATAATTAGATAATCGTCGAGGTGTCTTCTTGAATGCATTTCCTTTTTCTTTTCGTGCTGTAGAAAGATAAATATCATGCTTGGGATGTGAACAAGTGTTAGTTATTTTGATTTTTTTAGCATTAACAATTAATTTATTATAATGCCTTCTACATAACGCTTTTCCAACCAAATTTAAATGTTTGTTAATATCTGGAATAGTCACTTTATCAGATATTATAGAAGCACCATACTTATCATTATCACAAATAACATCACTTTGTCCCTCCATATCACAGTGTACTGCTCTTCTTTTGTTTTTTTTTTCACTAGATGAATGTTGTGTAGACATTTTGCTAAAAAATAAATATAATAAAAATAAATAAATTCTAATTCCGGAAATATATAAATAACAGATTGAAAAAAAAGTCTCTATAGCTAACTTCTGAATTACTCCACCTTTTTCCAAATTACTTTGGTAATATATTGAATAAAATGTAAGGTATTAGAATATCCTGTTTATATTGTCAGCGAATTGATTTCTGTGGCAGCGAATTCACCCGAAGTCAGATGACAGGTCATTTGTATATGATTTATATGTTGTGAAACTAATGCTGATCATTTCGTAAAATCAAATACCCGCTATGTTCAAAAAAGCAAGTAAAATTCAACCATATTGTGAATTTTAAAAGCAAATTACTCAAACAGCCAATTGCCAGATTCAGTTAGAAATGATTTAAAACAATTTAAAAAAGTAAATTTTTGTTTGAAAATTTATTTGAGTGCTGGTTTTTTTTGCAGCACACTGTATATAATAATAATAATAAATCATAAATTGAAAAAAAAAGTTTTTTTATTACAAAAACTATATATATTTTTAAACCTTCATTACCTGAAGAAAAAAAAAATCACCTATTTTTTGATTTTTTTTTTTTATAATGATTTTTGCCAATCCCCATGAAGAATAATTTTTTTAACCTTTTAAAGAAAATTCATTATAAATTTAATAATATAATGATAGTATGATTATGAATGAATACAATATTAAAGAACTCACTTTAGTGGAAGTGAAATTATATGTTCGAACCAAGTCCCATTTTTGAAGATATTTTTTGTCTATTGAGATTAAAGATGTTAGCTGAAATGATTTTTGAAAAAATCAATTTCAGCAGGTAATTTCAGATTTACAATATTTTCATAATGATGGACAAAAAAACTACCCAGAAATTTGGCTATTGAGTTAAAGTGTTCAAATAATTTCGAGTATAATTTCAGCAATTAATAAAGTTAATTTCAGCAACTATGAAAACTATTTCAGCATTTCAGATTTGGTGATGATCATTTACTAAGTGAAGTAATTTTGGCTAACATCTTTAATTGAGATACTGTTTGTTGTAGAAGAAATTTCATTTAAAACACCTGATATATAAACAATCTTATTTATTGGTCCAATTCTATAATTACATCTTCTGGATTTTACTGTGGGAACATTTGCTATAATGATATACCTGAATACTTTCTTTAAATGTCTTATGATGGTATTTCACTCCTCCTTCACCAGGAAATTTTCCCCGCCATAATATTATGTCCATAAATTTTAATATGTAAAGTTGTAATATTTGCATAAAAAGTTATGTAATATTTACACTCAATGTAATAATTGCATAATTTTTGTATGCTTATTTGCATAATATTACAGGGCCCCCGCCATAAATTTACATAAATCAGTCACAGGACATTTCCTGCTGATCTATAGGAGGTTGTAAAACATAGTAAAATTTGGATGATCTGCATCATAGTAAAATTTTATAATCAAATGTCTTCACACCCTCATTTGATACCCTTGCTGTGTAGCAACCACCACCAATTTTGAGATATAATTTCTTTATCATATGTATCTGCTTTAAGAAAATTTTTAAGGCAGGTTCTTAATAAAACCGAAAATAAAACTGACCCTCAAAGCAAGTATAAGCAGAAATAAATGTCCAAATATTACATCATTACAGATTTTTGATCACTTAGGTATGCCTTTTATAGTAAAATCATTTATTTTAAAAGTAAATATAATAAATAAATAGATTTTAAAATTTTTCTTTGCCTATTAAGGATACCAGCTGCAACTTTTGATGATGGCTGCAACCACCTTTACAACCATTTTGTTTCCTTTTTGGATTGTGACATGGAACACTATTGCCTATATACATAATAATGATTAGAATAATAAACAAGCAACAATGATGATTAAATTAAAAGGTGTTTACACAGTGAATCTCGATTTAGCGGATACTAATTAAAAATCTCAGTTTTATGGATAAAGTTCAAAGAACAGTTTCATAAGGGGTGTTCAAAGTTGTTCCGTTCCTGTTCCTGTTCCTTGTTGTACAATACCTTATTAGGTAATGGAAATAAGGATCAACTTTGAGCAGAAATTTCCTAGTTGTCACCATAACTTCTATATTTGGGACTGAACTACACGCGTTTTTTTAAAAAATATGTCAACTTGTGAAAGAATTGAAGAGGCATTGTTTCTAAATCTATTCCAAGAAATAACTGAATTGGATGAATTTGATGAAAGTTTTGTTGTTACACATCATTATTATTAGTAGAAGTTACTGAACTGGATAAATGCTTTGTTGTTGTTGCATGTCATTAGTAGAAGCTACTCTTTGAACTGGACGAGGCTGTTGTACATTATTAGTAGAAGCTATTTTATGATATTCTCGTTTTCTTGTTTTTATTTTTTTATTTTTATTTTTTATTTTTTATTTTTTTTTTAAAATCGTTTCCAAATTTGGAAGTGGAAACAAGGAGAAACAACAAATTTGTTGTTTCTTTGTTCCGTTTCCTGTTCCTTCTGATCAGCCAATAAAATTTAATTTTGACTGTGTAACAAGGAACAGGAAACAGGAACGGAACAACTTTGAACACCCCCTAATGTGACCAGGAACAATCAAAACTAGTAGGAAGTATTCTTTCTCATTTTTCTTTGATATATATGCAATAGCTTTTGTTAAAGCAATTTGTGCACTAACTTCAGCTTCATTTTTTACACTTTCCAAATATTCATTTTGTTTATCATAATAATGACCTTTTGATGACTGTGTTGTTACTCCCATCATAGAAAAAATGGTTTGAAGTTGTCTCCTGTTAACACCATCAACAAGTCCTGCTCCTGCTGCAAGTAAAGAAAATTTTGTACCAGGTGACTCATTATTATATTCAGTAATTCCTTGACACACTTTACAATTGATTGTAATTTGAAGATTATAGCCAATTTTATTAACTTTCAGCTTCTTTTTAGACAGGTCAAGATTATTGCATGTTAAACAAGGTTGAGTTCAGTATTAACTAATATTGTTGATCCAAATTTATTTTCTTCTATCCCTTAAACTGTAGCACAAATTTTATGAAAATGTGATAAATTCAATACTGGAAAATCACTTATTATTACAAACAATAAAATTTTTTGAATTTTTCGTAGTTATTTACATATTATTTAAGTTCATAACATTAATTATTCAATACAACTTTTTTAATTATTTTTATTGGTAAAAATTTATATTCTAATAATAAGTATTTTTTTAGAAAATTTCACGAAAAATAAAAAGAAAACTTCACTCCTTGTGGAAATTGTTATAGAAAAAAATGACACTATTAAATCTTATACCATTTTTATTCCTCAGAACTTGAAATTTAAATTTATTAAAGTTAATGTAAAGATATAATTAGTAAAATCTTCACTTAACAATATACCTCGTATGTATTAAATTTTTTGGAATGTAAAAAATTTTTATTTTTGATAAATAAAATTAATTAATCCTCATTTAAATTGATTTGCAGATTCTTCAGTACTATTTTCTTCTCTTATATCATCACTGATTTCAATAATATCAGTTGAAGCAAAGGTGTAAATATTCTCATTAACATTAGTTACTTCAGAATCCTCAAATTCTTCATGTTCATTCCGTTTCAAAAAAAAATTGAATTCATCTTCATATTTGTAAATATTAATATTTGAAGAGTCCATTTTTTAATTAAAGTTTAAATAAATAAAAAATTTTATTGCAGTGTTAAAAAAAAAATTAATACAAAATGATCGGCAAAGTAAATTTTTTTTGTACCTTTACTTTGCACAATCATTTATCACCAAGAACAATATGTAACACTTTGTTTTTTCTTTAATGGGTTAATGATACAATCTCAAAAATCATTTTTTAATTAGGAAATTATGTGTAAAAACTGCATGATAAAAATCTTTGTGTCTTACAACAAATCTGCAGCATATATGCTGCAGAAACAGTTTAAGGGAAGTTTTTTATTTTTTTTTTTCATACTGATTATACTTTAAATTCTTTGCATATTCAAGGTCAGATTTAGCATGTTTGAATCTTTTACATAATGCATCACTTGATTTTTTTGAAGATTCATAATCAATTGTAAGAGCTAAAGTTGCTTCTGAAGATAAGTTTACACCTGTTTCTTTAATTTCTATTGCTTGACAAATTATTGGATCTTGTGAAATTAATGATGAATTTCTTGCCTTTGCAGTTAGCTTTACCATTTTGTTTTGAGATTTTGTCAATGCAACAGAAGTTTCAAAAATATTTGGGTAAATTGAATTGACTTTGGCTTGTAGATCATGTATAATATCAGGGTTACCAAATCCAAGAATGTCTGGAATAGAAATATTCCCTGACCAATTTATGTATTTCTTCATGCTAACAAAAAAATCAAGGTTTGTTCCTTCATGTATAATTTGTGACATCTCCACATTATTATAAATTTTCCAATGATATGTAAGGCATTCATTATTACTTTGAATTTCTAGATAAATATATAACTTGCCAAACTTTCCAATAACACAATGTCCAGGAAGTAAAGGAACCAATGGTGCAGTTGATATATCTCTTTTTGTAACATTA